GATACTTTCTCGTAGAGAAGTAAAAAAGAAAAAAAAAGAGATAAGGGTAAAACAAAAATGGAGAAAGTAAAAAACAAAGACACATATAAGAAAATGACCAAACTATAAAGGAATCTAAAAAACTATTCTAAAATCTAAGAGAACTTATCTACAGATATAAAAACCTGCTAACCAGGTAAAAAACTATCTATATAGTTGTAGAAATCTATATATAGAGCTATCTGACAAAAAGAAACTATAGAACTAAAATGTACTTTAATCTGTGCTAAGAGCTAAAATTATATGCATATGACCTCGAAATATTGCATCTCTCTATTATATTGCTCCAGTTTACAACTCTCATTAAATCTACTTCGAATCCTAGAATGCCAATTTTAAAGCCTCGACATATAATCGTTAGTTCTATTTATAACAGGCTGCTCTTTTCTAAAATCTTTTTACAATCTTCACTTCGAACCTTGCTTCTTCGCTATACGAGATTAAATAGGAGTCTTCCCTATAGTCAACCGGCATCATTGGAAGCCACTTCCTCAGGTCTGTCGCATAAGATATTCATTTCTGTACAGTCAACAGTGATCCAAAACAGGACTTTCTATGTACTTCGATTTAATCTAAACAGAACTTCCTCTTTACACGTGATTGTTGTGTTCCTTATTCTTCATATTGTAACTCGAGACCTTCCAAAAATAGAAATGTAAATAATACTGATCTTTTAGAGGAGGGTAGCCAAATCTCCCACTTTTTGTCGAAAATTATGAAAAAAAAAAATGGCGGGCGAAAAGTGTAGTTTGCGAAATAACTTAAGTCTTCTTTCTATTTACTGTTCCCAGATACTCCTCTGGTTTGGATGCCAAATGCAAAAAGGAGTTCGCCCAAGAGAAGAAGAAGCTTGATCTTTTTGCAAACCATCCCAAATGCCCACTCCTCGATGTATCACGTTTAAGACTTCATCGACAACAGTTTGTATTAAGAAAACTATTTGTTCACTTCTGGTCTTAAGTCTTCAACTTGCTTTTAGAGACTAGTTGGTACAAGTGATCATTGGGAAGAGTTGTTTATTTAATTATTTTAATTTTATTAATAAATAATAAAATTATTATTCTTTTTCTTTATAAAAAGTTTTACAAAATATAAATAAATTTTATAAAATATTTAATATAATTTTGTATTATATATAGAATTTGCTACATATTTTATATTTTATATACAGAATATATATAAAAAATTAAGCTATTTTATAGATTTTAAATTATTTTTAGATATATTTTGTATATAAAATATAGATTTTGTAAAAAATTCTAAATATAATGCAAAATTATATTAATATTTTATAAATTTTATAAAACTTTTTTATAAAAATTAAGTATTTGATGTTTAAAATCATGAATGATATAAGAAATACTATTAAACCAATTTATATTATATTAAATAAGTACAATAATTATAACTTTGTAAAAGAATAAACTAATTTTGTTAAACTTGTTAAGTTAAAATTCAATTTAAATATTTAATATTTAAAATAAACTATTTAAAGTTTCTCTATTAAATTATTTTTATTAAATCACTAACTCTTTAAAATCAATACCTGTTATCCAAAGTTTTATACTAGTGCTGTTAATATGTCTCAAAAATTCTTTAAAAATAATATCTATTAAAGTAAAATATACTATTCAATTTAAAAATATATGCATATTTATTGAATGTTATGAATTTAAGATTATATTTTATTAGCAATTTGACAAATAATTGGCTATATATACTGCAAAGTGGCATATGCTCATTTGCTAAATTATTATTTGTCTAATAGGTATATATTATTGGGCAAAATTTGGTGAATAATAGTTATTTAACTCAACTGGGCAAATAATTGGCTAGCATGGCTACAAAGTGATACATACTAGATAATCATTTGCTTAGTTAAGTCAAATGACTGTTGTTTACCAAATTTGTTTAATAATGGTATTATCTAACAATTTATGATCATAGCCTAATCTGCTTAGTGTAATAAATGTAGTTTTAGATCTAAAAAAAAATTGCAGATTAGTATATAAATCAGATCGCTTTTTTGAAAACAAAAGTGATTTTATATTTTTTCTTGTGCCTTATTTTTACAAGTTTAAGAATATGGATTACAAGACTTTCTAGTTGTTGTAAGTTTTATTGAGTGCAATATGTGCTTGAAATATTTAAAAACCTAAAAACTTTTACCTGATGGTTTAAGAATTTACTTGAACATATCTAAGAAAATGCTAAAATCAAAATCTGCTGTAGCAAAAAAAGTTTTTGTAAAAGTTCTTGCAGAAAATCTTGTGAAAGTCACTGCAAAAGTTTCTGCAAAAGCCTCTGCAAAAGCCTTTGTAAATGTTCTTGCAAACATCTCTGCGAATATTTTTGTGAATGTCTCTGCAAAAGTCACTACAAATATTTTTGTGAAGGTGCTTGCAAAAAACTCTGCAAATGTTTCTGCAAATATTTTTGCAAATGTTTTTTCAAATGTTCTCACAAAGGTTCTGGCAAAGGTAAACTTTACTTGTGTTTTATTTTTGTTTTTTTTTATTTAAAAAAAAACTAATTAATAATTACTTTAGTGAGTTAAATACACAGAGCTATCTGTGGAAAAATTAAAAGCAATTCGAGAAGATGCAAAAGTTTAAGCTATATATAAAGCAATAGAATAGTAGGTAAAAGCATTAGAGGAGTTTCACTCCAAAGTTGAATATGTAAGAAAAATTAAAAAAATCAAATCAAAGATAGTCTTAGAAGACCAACTATCTAAATTCATATATGCAATGAAATGACAGGATAGAAAGGATTATTGTATAACCTCAATAAGGTGCTGTCTTGCAGCTATTTGGCATTACCTTAACCAGCATTCTGTTATAGAAAAACTTATAATATTCTGAATCCTAAGATTTACTTTAAATTAAACCAAGTAATAAATAGAAAAATAAAAAACTTTTCAGCAAAAGGCTTAGAAGAACATATTAGAGCTGATGATTTGATATTAGATGAAGTTAAATATATTCTTGACCACTCTACAATACAAAATAATAGTTCTAAAGGATTACTACAACAGATTTTTTTTATAATGCAACTTTATTGGCACTAAGAGAGTGAATATCAAAGTCTCTAAATAAATAACTTTATTAAAAGATATGATAAATAGATAGATATTAAATTGTACAGATCAAAGATAAATCAACATAGATTTGAAGACTATGATATGCAGGCGGAGATAATTAGTTTACTGAATATTAAACATATTATTAATAATTACAAATTGTATTTTACAAAATATCTAGTAATATCAGTGACAAATTTTTATTAAAACCTGTATCAATAAATTTTGATAATTTTTATTAAAAGTATATGATCAGTAATTATATATATATTATTAACAATTTTTTTTTTATTTTAAGTAGAATTCACTAAAAATTGGTTTTATCAATATGTATTGGGTAAATAAATATTGAGAATGTATTTTTAGACCATATGTGAAGCTACAAGTATTGATATTGGAACTCGCAATATATCAAATCACTCTGGAAGAAAAACTGCAGTGCAGTTATTGAAAGAGCTTGGATACTCAGATGTTATAGTTATATCAATCACATGACACAAGTCATAAAAAAGATTGGCCGCATATGAAAAATTATGCAACAAGAAGGTCTTGGTAGATTTTTAGTATATTAGCATATACCTCAAACAATATATTGAAAGATAACTTTATAATTATAGTTTGTTTATTAAGTTTGAACAATCAGCTAATAAATTTTTTTTAATACAA